GAACCGACTGGACGGCACATCACAATAACAACAAAAGATTAAGATGGAACTAAAGAGCAAAGATTCACAGTCTTAGAAACCCTGTATACACCAATGAGGTGGCTATGAGTTGGAACCTACTCCTTGGCACGAAGCAGCAAAGAGTAAGGATTAAGGTATAACTAAGGGTTAAGAAGTCCTGGTGTGGCGCTATGGGTTAATGCGCTGGACTGCAAAATTGGTTAGAACTGAAAGGTCAGCGGTTCGGAAACCCTACACAGGGTCACTATGAGTCAGAACTGACTCAAGGGCACTTAACAACAACAACAAAGGATCGAGGATGCCCCCACCTTACTCAAATCACCACCATCAGATTTCCTTGGGGGGAAACTATATATTCCAATATACAGGGAAGCTTTGGCAAACTTTGCTGTCTTGCTCTGAATCCTGCATCTGGCTCATCCTGTGTGACTTCCAGTTTGTGGAACCTGTGGCCATCACCTGACTTGAGTGACCAGCTCCTACAGCTTGTGCATCAACAGCCTGTCGTCTGACCTACTGTTGTTTGGGTTCCTCAGCTCCTGAGACTATGTGGGTGAGGAAAGTACTCCAGACTGACCTCTGAACTATGGATTTGGTACTTGTCGGCTTCCATATTTAGGAATACAGACTGTGTTCAGTGAGTGGCATAAAGCATATCAGGACCTTCTAGAAGTGTAGGCAATCTTAGCAACTGAGCAGAAGAGGACAGACCTGGGAAGAAGTTAGCTCTACTGTTTATCATAAAATGCATGCATCTTGTATCACCCCTTAGGGAAAGCAATTCATAAAATGAGAATCTAACCCTGGGCTTATGAAACAAAAGCAAACCACAGAAAAAGAAATTTTATAAACAAAATGAAACCCCGGATCATACCTCCAGTGTCTTATCCAGTTTGGCAGCTAGTCTTCCAATGTCGTATAATAGCTGGGGGCCAATGGGAATGTCCGCGATGATCCTGCCCGGGAGGAAAGTCATCAGCCTCACCAAGTAGCTTTTGATCTCGGAGCCACTGTCTAGGGGATAGAACAATGCACGCTGTCAACTCTCCTCAAATCGTCAGAGGCTCTCCTGTCCAGGAGTAACTGCAAAGAATAATAGAAATGGCAGAGAACGAGAAAAAAAAAAAAAAACAAACGTGCTAACCTCAGACAACTTACCGGGTAGGACCCCAGGAGGTGGGACTAAATGGATAGCGCAAGGAGGTAGAAAAAAGAGACCTGAAGAAAATTGGAATCAGCTGTATGCATACCAACACCATACCAAACCTATCTTAGCTTAGACGTGAATCACCTACTCTGGCAAATGAAAGCCCCAAACATACTTTTACAAAAGTTTACAACTGAGGAAACTGAGAGAGAAAGAGATGACTGTTCCCGAATCATAGACTTTCTCAGGGGTAAAGTGGGGCATAGCCAGAACAAAGAATAGTAACTATTCTTCAGGGATGACACTGCGCTTCAGACGTTTGGAGCAATGCATTTTAAGAAAGAATAGTTGAAAGGTAAGAGAGAAAAGGATAAGTCTAGATGTCATACCTTTAGAAAATTACAAGGCGTTGATTTCAAGCTGTTGCCCGGAGAATTGAACTAGGTATATTTTAGCATTTTGAGGCGAAAGGGATCAAATCTTGTAAATGAGGAAATGTAGCCTTAGGTATTTAAGTAGTGTGCCACTTAATACAGTTCATGAGAGAGCAGGGATCTAAAATTCCTGATTCACAGTTCTGTAATCTTTCTACTATACCACAGTACCATAATATACTCTGCTCTGGTGAGTACATTTTTCTAGTTAAAAAACACCACAAAGAACTGTTCCCCTTTGTTATTGGGCCTTCCTGAGCGGCAGAGTTATACTAGATCCTAGCTCTAACTGCTTCAGTATCACAGCCCCAATGTCTGCTTTGCTGATGCATGTTGCTTTTCTCAGCCATCAAAAAAATTAACCATGTCTACACCCATGTCTGGTGTGGCGCTCCGGGTTAATGCACTGAACTGCAAGGTCGATTTGAACTGCAAGATTGGCAGTTCAAGCTTACAGAAACCCTATACAGGGTCACTATGGGTCGGAACCGACTCCATGGCACTTTACAACAATAACAGCAACACCCGTGTCGACACTTGGGATTGTGAACCTATTCGTCCTTTTTTCCTTTTACAAAAAATTTTATTTTGTTGTTGAGTGTCTACATAGCAGAACACACAGCTCTTCAACACTTTTACAGGTACAGTGACAGGATGGCATTCTTGGAGCTCTACAATCATTTTCACCCTCCCTGCTCATCTTTTGAGTTACTGTTGTCAATTTCACCCCCATATAGGTCAGTATTCAAGGCACACCTTCTTTACTAATTTAGCTAACCTATTATTTGGTTTAAAGACTATCTCAGGGCAGTAGTCTCAGGGGTTCACCCAGCCTCCATGACTCCAGGAAATCTGGATTCCATGAGAATCTGAACTGCTCTTCTGTGCTTTCCCCCAGTTTGATCAGGATTCTTCTATAGATCAAAATGTGGAAACCTGTTCTTGATATTTCTTTTTGATTTTCCACTTGTAGCCAAATTGTAGCAGTAATGCTGGCTATAGAATCACATGAATAGACTGGCAACTTGGTCATGTCTTACCTACAGATACAAGAGAGGTTATGTTGTCCGCTTTCGTTGGACACATAGAGGCTGTTGGAAATCCCGATGCTCTCAGAAACATGATGCTGTGGCTTTGCACTTCAATCAGGTCTGGAGTTTTGCTAGACTCCGTGTTGTTTATTTTGAGAACATATTCAGTTGGACCATCTGTAGTTTCTTTGGTTCGTGAAATGTACACATAAAAGTTTTGGTCATCGTAGCTGGGAAGCGGTTCCACCTTGGAAACTTTTAGCCCAAATATCGATTCCACTAATGCAGAGGCTTGTGCCTCACTGAAAGCAGGTTTGGCAAGAGCCTGCGATTGCTGGTCATCTCCACTCAACATTGTGTCTAGGGGGGAAACAGTCAGAAATTAGACATATAATAAAAACAAAAATACCAAGCCCACAGCCATTGTGTCAATTCCAACTTGTAAAGACCCTATCTATACAAGGGTTCTGAGAGTAAATCTTTATGGGAGCAGACAGATAGCTGAAAGACTCATCTTTCTTCAACAGAATGGCTGGTGGGTTTGAACTGCCAACCTTGCTTGCATTTATTTAAATCATTTTCTTCAAGGCAGACCAATTATATTTTTCTATATTAATGCCTTGGGAGCGTGTTGGCTCCGTAGGATAAACACCGGACTGTGAATCACAAGGTCAGTGGTTTGAACCCACCAGCCGCTCTATGGGAGAAAGATAAGGCTTTCTGCTTCATCAAAGATTTACAGCTTCACGTCCAGCTGATAAGAAGAGAGGGCATATGCACAAGAACATCCACACTTGCAAATAATACCCACTTGACCTGGCTTCAATGACTGGATGATCAGAGCTCAACTAGAAAAAGAAAGAAGAGGAAAAAAAGAGTAATCTGATATAATTTGATGAACTTGACCTACACCTATGGATGCAGTAGCTCAAAAGAGGGAAGAAATCTTTACAGCAAGGATCATTCCCACCCCCTCCATACACAGAGTAGACAGGGATGGGCAACTTGGACATTGGCTACCCAGAATGGGGCGGCTACAAAGGCAAGAAGTGACTGGCTTACAAGCTTTCAAGAGGGAACCTAGATACAGAGGTCGTGGAGGCAGGTAGAATCTCCACTGAGTAGTATCCAATCTGTCTAGGCGGGGCTGATGAAATAGGTGGTGCTGATGAAAGGAAATGCAGATAGGTCTCTTTTGATACAATAGTGAATAATTGTTGTCAGGACTGATTGTGAGGGTTGAAAATGTAAAGGTAAACGTTTTATAGCAAGGAGGGGAGTGATTAACTTTGCAGTCTAGGAGCAGAGGTCCCTGGGACCATCATGGGAGAAGAGTGGAGAGCGGGACCCTACTCAGAGTATGCTGATGACTGGGGGCGTGGGGGTGGGCAGGCTTGTAGGATTTACCCTTTGGTTGATTGATGATGCATGGAGGGATTGTAACCATGGCAATGAAATGATATATGATAGGATGAATGCAAAACTAATGTTCTCCCATGTAAACTATCACAGAATTCATAATAAAACATTAAAAAAAAAAAAGATTTGCAGCCTCCGAAACCCTGTGCAGGGTCAGTATGAGTTGGAACCAACTCCACAGTACTTAACAACAACAACAACAAGGTGGAGGGTCAGAAAAAAAGAGGAAGACCCCCAACGAGATGGATTGGCCAGGTGGCAGCATCAGTGGGACTCAAGTGTGACAACAGTAGTGAGGTTGGCTCAGGATCGGGCAGTGTTTCGTTCTGCTGTGCATAATAAGGTCGCTATGAGTCAGTACCGACTCGATGGCACCTACCTAACAACAACAACAAGGATAAGCACTGGGCCAAAAGGTTGGTTGGAACCACATGACTGGTAGTTCAAACTGACCAGCTGCTGCTCAGGAATCCTATAAGGGGTCACTATGAGTTGGAATCAACTTGATAGCACTTAATAACAACAACAACAAATATCAATACTCTAGGAAACATCAGTCAAGACATCAAGTGATGTATTGTATTAGTCAAATCTGCTGCATAGGAACTTTTTAAAGTATTGAAGAGCAAAGATGTCAGCTTGAGGACTAAGGTGCGCCTGACCCAAGCCATGGTATTTTCAGTAGCTTCACATGTATGTGAAAGTTGGACCGTGAATAAAGAAGACCATAGAAGAATTGATATATTTGAGTTATGGTGTTGGAGGAGAATATTGAGAGTACCATGGACTGCCAGAAGAACAAACAGATCTATGTTGGAAGAAATGCAGCCAGATGCTCCTTAGAAGCCAGGATGATGAGATTTGTGTCTCATTCTTTAGGCATGTTATCAGGAGGGACGAGTCTCTGGAGAAGGACATCATGCTTGGTAAAGTGGAAGGTCAGTGAAAAAGAGGAAGATGCCCAAAGAGATGGATTGACACATTGGCATAAGCAATGGGCTCAAGAGTACCAACACTTGTGAGGATGGCATAGGACTGGATAGTGTTTTGTTCTGCTGGGCACAGGGTTGCTATGAGTTGGAACTGACTTGATGGCACCTAACAACAACAACTTTAGATTACTAATTTTCACTCATAAATTTAAAAAGCCAAATCAGTAAATGAGATAAACCACCATTGGTTTGTCTTGTCAGTTTGTTATACTGTGGTGGTCTGTGTGTTGCTGTGATGCTGAAAGCTAAGCCACTGGTATTTTAAATGCCAGCAGGGTCACCCACGGTGGACAGATTTCAGCGGAGCTGCCAGAGTAAGACAGACTAGGATGAAGGAGAGGCAGACCACTTCTGAATGATTAACCAGTGAAGACCTTATAAATAACAACAGAACATTATCAGATACAGTGCTGGAAGATCAGCCCCTCAGGTTGGAAGGCACACAAAATACAATTTGAAAGAGCTGCTTCCTTTTGGCAAAGTAGAGGGTTACCAAAAAAGAGAAAGACCCAAGGGGACAACCAAGGCATAACATAGTCCACAAAGACAATGTTCTATATCGTACTTTGGTGAGTAGTATCTGGGATCTTAAAAGCTCACGTGCAACTCTGGTCTCTCCATGTGCAGAAGAAAGAAGAGTGATGAGAATTGAAGATGCTTAGAATCAATTAGGTCAGCAGACTAATGAAACATGTGAACATCAGTCACCTTGACTCTGAGACCAGAAGAACTAGATGGTGCCCAGCTACCACTACAACTGCTCTGAAAGGGGTCACATTAGAGCGTCCC